AATAGACATAAAAAGAAACAAGCAAAATTAATAAATTCTGAAGGAAAGAAATCAACTAATTGATTTGATGAATAGAGCTTTGCACGTTTGTCTCTATTTCTTGTTGCGAATGTTTTTCCGTAAATTGCCAGAACGGAATTGATATTTGTCGATATCCAGACCAGAAATTGAATGGTGATTTCGGTAGTCGATAAATGGGGCCTACTTTTAGATGCTTTAATTTGGTTTCATTTCCGCAACTTCTTTTCCTGAAGTAAATTTTTTGGCTTAAGCAAAAATGTTCGTCTTTATGTTGTTAGAACGCGCCTGTTTCGTTTCTTATTCGATTACTATTTCAACCAGTATTTTCTAAACAAGATCTAAATTACAATAGTAAAATAGACATAAACATAAACAAGCAAAATTAATAAATTCTGAGAAAAAGCAACTAATTGATTCGATAAATAGCGCTTTGCAAGTTTGATTACAATGTTGTTGTGAATGTTCTTTTGTAAATTGCCAGAACGAAATTGAAATTTGTCGATATCCAGACCAGAAATTGACTTGGTGATTTCGGTAGTCGATAAATGGGGCCTACTTTAAGGTACTTAGCAAATTTGGTTTCATTTCCGCAACTGCTTTTCCTGAAGTTAATTTTTTGGTGTAAGTACAAATGTTCGTCTTTATATTGTTAGAACGCGTCTGTTTCATTTCTTATTCGATAACTATTTGAACTAGTATTTTCTAAACTAAATCTAAATTACAATAGTAAAATAGACATAAAAAGAAACAAGCAAAATTAATAAATTCTGAAGGAAAGAAATCAACTAATTGATTTGATGAATAGAGCTTTGCACGTTTGTCTCTATTTGTTGTTGTGAATGTTCTTTCGTAAATTGCCAGAACGAAATTGAAATTTGTCGATATCCAGACCAGAAATTGACTTGGTGATTTCGGTAGTCGATAAATGGAACCTACTTTTAGATACTTAGCAAATTTGGTTTCATTTCCGCAACTTTTTTTCCTGAAGTTAATTTTTTGGCTTAAGCAAAAATGTTCGTCTTTATGTTGTTAGAACGCGTCTGTTTCGTTTCTTATTCGATTACTATTTAAACCAGTATTTTCTAAACAAGATCTAAATTACAATAGTAAAATAGACATAAACATAAACTATCAAAATTAATAAGTTCTGAGAAAAGCAACTAATTGATTTGATAAATAGCGCTTTGCAAGTTTGATTACAATTGTTGTTGTGAATGTTCTTTTGTAAATTGCCAGAAGGAAATTGAAATTTATCGATATCCAGACCAGAAATTGACTTGGTGATTTCGGTAGTCGATAAATTGGGCCTACTTTGAGATACTTAGCAAATTTGGTTTCATTTCCGCAACTTCTTTTCCTGAAGTTAATGGCGTGGCATGAACGTTGAACTAGTATTTTCTAAACAAGATCTACATTACAGTAGTAAAATAGACATAAATAAGCAACATTAATAAATTTTTGGAAAATAAACTATTAGATTTTGTTTTGATATACAGAGTGTTAAATCAAAAACTATTTTATATTGCAACGCCTTCTTAACATAATTTTTCAAATGTTTTTTTAATCATCAACAAACAATTTTATAGGGCTGTCCATTTATAGCAAACCACCACGTACACATCTCCATTATGAAATTCCACTATAATTATGTATTTTGTTAACCTTGATAGAGAATAGGTTGTTGGCACTGATCACCGTTCTTGTTACTTAACAATCCGAATAGGCGATGGGTAACTCGAAGGACTTTTCTTTTTCGAACTGCACTTCTCCGAAACCGTTTTGGACATTAAGGTTTTCTGTGAAAACATTCTTATTGATTTTTATGGCATTTTTACGATATATTATACGCGTTTTCTACTCTAGTAAATGTGTGTTTGTCCTAAATTTGCAATACATTGTGTGCTAATAGGAAACACAAATCCGAAATTATGATCCCATTCATTAAAGTCGTAAAGTTCACTCCTGATGGAAATATTTGTTTTTTAAAATGTGAGATAGTAGGTTAGCTTCACGTGGGAAGGCGGACGGAGTCTAGCTGGTCCATAATTAAACGTCCATTGAATTGCAAAGATTGCAGCCCACGAGTTCAAGTGCATATTTCAGGCCCTATCACTTTCGAAGTATTCACTATGCAAACAGTTATTGCGTTTGAATCAAATTATCTCATGCCGTCGCTATTGAATTATCTTCTTATTAGATACTAATCTCAAATCCACCCGCAACATGAATGATTAATAATGGAAAGGCTTTCCATAGAAGGGCCCACAATTCTTCAGCAAAATTAACAGGCTATTGAATAAAAATATGGCAATTTAAAGAGTGAGATGATGGAATGATTAAAATAGTAGCAGACTTTTGATTATCAATTCGAACCGGTACAGTTCTACTATTCTATTGTGTGATGAGAAAATAGATATTCCTCTCTGGCAACAACCAAAAGTAACCTTCTTTAACCACCAAATATCCTTGAATAGTGCGCGTTCAACGGTGTTTTTCCTTCGGTCTAGTAGAGATGATGGACCATGGGCGTCGGCAAAGAAATGGTTCGAAAGTGCAATTAAGATTCTTGGCATTCAAGTGGCTTTATTGGTGGATCATTTGATAAATCTTATCCATTATTTCTATCAGAACTAGGTTTCGGTTTAAGCTGGAATCTGTTCATTCATCTATTGCGAGCATACAAATTGACACGTTGATTCCACTGGTCGATAAAAAGAGTTGTGTTTTAGTTAATTTGCAAAATTGATTTAATTTATTCAAGTTATTTATTGAAAATTATTTCTTTGGTTAGATTCATTGGGAACTAACCTTTCACTAAATTTGGCGTACGCTTTACGCTCTTGCTATTATGTAAAGTTATCTGTTGTATAAGTTATATAAAATACTGGATTTTTTACCTTTATTTCTGACGAATTGTTTATATCATTTGTAATTCTTCAACGTCTGTTTTCGCCTAATTGGCTTTATATTTCCACTGTCAATGTTTTAATCATTTGGTCGAATGGTTGCTTCAAACTTAATTATTTGGGCAAAGCAAGAATGTTCATTCGTAAATTGCCAGAATGCAGATCATATTTGTCGAATCCAAACAAGAAATTGAGATGATGATTTCTCTAATAATAAGGATACATTGTTGTGGGTGTTTCTTCGGCAAAATTGGTGTTATTTCTGCAAATAGTTTTTCCGCAAACGTTTTTTGGATTGTGCAAGAATCTTCATTCGTGTTTTGTGAAAATGTAATCTACATTTGTCGATATCCAGACTAGATGTTATGTTGTCCTTCTTGTCGGTAAATAGAGCTTTGCAAATTTTGCAAACTTGAAAATAAATTAATTGGCTACAAAATAATGTTCGTTTATAAATTGACGGAATGTAGGATATATTAGTCGATATCCAGAGATATCTCTAGTCGATAAATGGGGCTTTCTTTTAGGTATTTTGCAAATTTGATTCTATGTATGTAACTACTAATTCTGAATTGAAAAAAACAATTTTATGCAAATTATATTTGTTGATATCCAGACTAGAAATAGAGTTTTACATTTTTTCCCAAATTGAAATAATACGTGCGCTATTTTTCGATTTCCAGATGAAAAATTTCCGATGCAATTTTGGTTCAATTTTAAGAAAGATCAGTCTTAAGCAGGAATTTGTATATTGTCAGATTGCAAATGTAATAGGTCGATATCCAGACTAAAAATCGATATCTTGATTCCTGTAGTCGATAAATTGTACTTTGTTTGAGGTCATGTGCAAAATTGACTATTCCCTAAATTCGTTTTTTAAATCTGAATTGTAATGTTTAACCAAGACTATTCAATATTAAATTGCCATAATGTGAGTGTTATTTTTTGATATTCAGGCTAAAAATTGATCTCTTGATTTATTTAGTCGTTACTAATAGCTTTGTCTGGGTTACTTTTTTTCCGTATTTTTTCGTAATTTCGTACAATTTATTTGTGTGGTTTTCCAAAATGGAAAATTTCTCTAAAGTAAAACTGCTCTTTGGCAAATTGTCAGGATTCAACTGTAATTGTGTGATATCGAGCCAAAAATCGATGTATTGGTTCATCTAGTCGATAAATAGGGCTTTGTCTGAGATAATGTACAGATTTTATTTCATTCCGGCATTTGGTTTTCCCAAAATGAGTTAAAAGGCTTTGCTAAAAGCGACTTTGTCGATATCCAGCCCAAAATTCGATATTTTGATTTCTGCAGTCGAGAATAAGACTATGTTTGAAAAACTTTGCAGATTTGGCTCAATGGCAGATTTTTTTTGAGAGTTAGTGGTTCTTTTTAAGCAGGAATGATAATTCATATATTGCCTAACACAAATGTAATTTGTCGATATCCAGTTAGAAATCGATATAATGATTGATCGATATTCTAGTGGATAAATAGGGCGTTTTTTGAGGATTTGCAAAATTAATTTAACTCCGAAAATTGGTTTTTCCAAAATTAATTTCAAGGCAAATTTGAGACACACAAAAATTTGGTTCAATTTTGTCGATTGTTTTTTTAAGAACCAATAATTCTTGTTACGCAAGGATGTTCGTCCATATACTTATGACTCTATTTCTTCAATTGTTTATTCCAAAGTAAATTATTCGAAAATATGAGTATTAAATCAATTTCTTGATGCATTCGGTCGATAAAATTTGATTCAATTTTGTCGATTGTTCAGAAAAAATATTCTTAAAAGAAAAGAAAAATTCTCGTAGAAAGTTCGTCTATTTTGCCCAAAGCAAATGTAATTTGTCGATATGCAGTCAGAAATCGATATG